CGGAACCACTGCAAAGCAGTGGTTCCGCTCCTATCTCAACGGCCGATACCAGAAGGTGGTGCTGGGGGACTATGACTCTGCGCCATGGCAGCTATGCCATGGAGTACCACAGGGGTCCATTTTGTCCCCTTTGCTGTTTAACATCTACATGAAACCGCTGGGAGAGGTCATCAGGAGGTGTGGGCTGCGGAAACATCAGTACGCTGATGATACCCAGCTCTACCTCTCGTTTTCCACCAATCCAGGTAAGGCAGTGGCTGTGCTGAACTGGTGCTTGGCCGAAGTAATGGGCTGGATGAGGGCCAATAAACTGAAGCTCAATCTAGACAAGACAGAGGTCCTGTTGGTTGGCGGATCGGGCTTCGGAGAGGGTGGATTTGACCTGGTCCTGAATGGGGTTGCACTCCCTCTTAGGGACAAGGTCCGCAGCTTAGGAGTACTCCTCGACCCAGAGCTTTCACTGGAAGCTCAGGTGACAGCGGTGACGAGGAGTGCTTTCCTTCAGCTTCGGCTGATTAATCAGCTGAGCCCCTACCTGGAGTACGACTCCCTGGCGACGGTGACACACACGCTGGTGACTTCCCGCCTTGACTTCTGTAATGCGCTTTACGTGGGGCTTCCCTTGAAGACGATCCGGATACTTCAATTGGTTCAAAATAGAGCTGCCAGGTTGCTGACGGGGACGGGGCGTTATGTTCACATGACTCCAGTCCTCCGTCAGCTTCACTGGCTTCCCATTGAAGTCCGGGCCCAATTCAAGGTGTTAGTTATGACCTATAAAGCCCTAAATGGCTTGGGTCCTGGTTACCTGAAGGATCGCTTACATCCATATATGCCCGACCGCCCCTTGAGATCTGCGGGAGAGGCTCTTCTCCAGGAACCCTCCATGAAAGAAATTAGGAGGGTAGGTACTCGGAGGAGGGCTTTCTCTGCGGTGGCGCCCAATCTATGGAATGCGCTCCCCAGAGAGGTCCGCCTGGCACCGTCTTTACTTGTTTTTCGGTGCCAGGTGAAGACCTTTTTATTTAAACGTCACTTTAATTGTTAACAATATTTGCTTATTTATCTGGCCAGGGCGACTTCTTTTATATTTTATATTTTTATTTATTTTATATTGTTAATTTTAATTCTATATTTTTATTTTTTTATTTTATTGTATTTTATTGTGTTTGTAAGCCGCCCCGAGGCTTCGGCAAGGGGCGGCATAGAAATGTTTAATAATAATAATAATAATAATAATAATAATAATAATAATAATAATACCC